GTGTGGCCAGGGCTGTGAGCCTTTGCTTGGCAGTCTCTAAGGCCTCAGGTATGGACAGTGAGTTGTATTTCTTAGGTACCCCGTTCTTCATCACGACTTTCTGCAATTCTGATAGCTGGCTAACTTCTCTCCGTGCTGCCTTGTTCTTGGTCTCCAACCTCCTTCTCCATGGAGGATACTGCTCCTTATGGTTTTTGTTGAACTTATAGCCATGCATCTCCAGGATCACGGTTGCTGTGGTGTATATGAGCTTGTTGGTCTCAGTGATGGTCGTAGTAGGGATTGTTCTTAGTGCTGCATTCACATCATCTAGTAGACTTTCAGAAGGCACTTCACTTAGTCTTGGTAACCGGCCATGGAATTTCCAGGTGTCCGTCTTGCTCATGATCATATATATATTATTATTATTATTAATGTCACAGTAAAGGTCAATCATAGCTTTTTAGCCTGCAGCCAGCTGAACCCCTCCCTGACAGCTCTACATATGGTTCTTGAATTGACTACACATGAAAAATTGGTTGCAGTTAAAAACCATCTGTCCATCTGTTTGTTGGTATCACCTCTGAAACCACAAGTCAGAGCCTGTACACAGTGTTTCAGAAACACTTTCTCATACACTGTTTTCATGTCTGAAGCAGAGAAACAATATGGAACACACTAAATATAAACATTCAGGGCTTGATTAACCCACTAGGGGACACTAGGACAAAAATGTGATTCAGGCCCACCGAAGCTCTGCAGCCTTAGGGCAGTTGGCGACTTTGCCCATTTGGTAAACCTGTGTCTCACACTGTTGTGTGCTACTGGCCTGGAAAGCCACATCTAATGTAATTTAATAGTGCTGACACACACGCATTGAAAGCAGCATCCTACCGACATTGTTTTCATTGATTATATGAAACAAATCTGCTGTGTAAAACCCCGGCTGGCCTTGTAAACCAGTCCACACTAAACAGCAACAACTTGTCTGTTGTGTTTTTTCTACCAGAACTTTGAGGAGTATCCAGAACACAGAACCCATTTCTTCTACTTGCTTCAAGCTGTAAACTCTCACTGTTTCCCAGCATTCCTCGCCATCCCGCCAGCCCAGTTTAAACTGGTGCTGGACTCAATCATCTGGGCCTTCAAACACACCATGAGAAATGTGGCTGACACTGGTAAGCCTCCTCCTATGCATGCCCTTTTTACTACATTTATTAATGTTCTTATTGAGCTACAAGGCCTAGAGCATAAATACTAGGTGATGTTAAAGATGACGTAGGTGCTGTGTTTAATCAAGTCATGACAACAGTGACAGATACTTCGATACTTGTCCAGAAGCTCCTGCTGATACTTACTTTGTCACATCATGCTGCTTCTGTAAGATCTCTTCTGTGAGGGCAAAATACAAGGAATGTTGTGTGTGCAGCTGAAGTTGTCCATGTTTCTGCTCACCTAGGTCTGCAGATTCTCTACACGATGCTGCAGAATGTTGCCCAGGAGGAAGCAGCTGCTCAGAGTTTCTACCAGACATATTTCTGTGATATCCTGCAGCACATCTTCTCTGTGGTCACTGACACATCACACACTGCTGGTGAGTTTACACACATGGAGAGATGCACAGAGGTCCCAGATCTGCTGATATGAACCTGATATTATGATAAGATAACATAATAACAGATGTTTGCTCATTGGTTTGTTCACAGCATAACTGAAAGGATTATTCACCAGTGTGAAATGGGGCCACTGCCAATGTTTTTGGTTCTAACTCCATAAATGCCTACAATGTTTAGACAAAAATTACGCAATATCATCCACATAAGATCTACCACACAGCAAAGTTTGGTCTGGATCCAAGTAATATTCTGGATGTGGTGATCCAGAATGTTCAAATTTACAGGGCTCACAGAAGACTTGTGACTGTGAGGCAACAACTAATGCTACAGACTTTTGGCTAAGATTTGACAGATTTGATATATCTCCACAATTTACTGTGTTCTAGATTCTGAAGAAAACTGTAATAGCTGATATATTTTTCTTGAATAACTTTCTAAATGCTAGAAGGTACGTTTTCATGATTAAGGAATCAGACTATCATGGAAATATTGCTTTTAGGTGGAATGGCATTATGGGGACAGTGAGCTGCCTTGGAGGAGGTTTGTGTAGTTAAAGTGTGTGGAGTTAACAGTGTGTGTCCTGTAGGCCTGACAATGCACGCATCCATCCTGGCTTACATGTTCAACCTGGTGGAGGAGGGGAAGATCACCATGGCGCTGAGCCCTGCCAGCCCCACCAACAACCAGGTGTTCATCCAGGAGTATGTGGCCAACCTGCTCAAGACTGCTTTCCCCCACCTACAGGAGTGAGTGGCAGCTCATATGAACACACATGCACACAATCTCTGCTTTAGTAAAATGCACTAGAGCTGTCCCGAATGGTCATTTTTGGGCTTTGGTGGTTTGCTAGTAATAATCGGTGAATATTCAAATATTTCCCATCTGTCAGTACTTTGGGTTAAAGCAAGACAAAACATAAAGCTAATGAAAGATGACAGATGATGGTTCTTCATAAGCATATGTGTGTACACCAGAGCAGACAGCGGTGTCTTTTCCTCCAACGCCTGCAGCGATGTCACAGACCTCACAACAGCGTCATTCATTTTGTCCTGTCATCAATTTAAGTCATGGAGTTAATGTTCATTAGCCGCAGCTGGTTGTTAAATCTGGATGCTAGTGTTGTGTTGAGATCCGTTTCCCCTAACTTGAACCCTAATCTTATCCTAAACCTAATCACAGAGGGGGCGCTACTAGAAACAGTTTTAACAGGAGGAAACCTCCTGACGGGAACAGATTTCGACACAAGACTCATCATGATGCCTCTAAGGACCATCTAGCAAGCCAAGCTGTCTCCATTGTGTTCTCTTTCCTCTTCATCATCAGACTCAGATTGCATTGAAATTTCCTGCTGTCTCAAATATTTGAATACTAAATTTGAAATTCAATTACCTACCCAACAAATAAATATCCAAAGAGTTGAATATTTGGGTCCAGCCCTACAATGCACATTTATTTATCACTGTGTATTTTTGTCCACTTCAGTGCTCAGGTGAAGGTGTTTGTGACTGGGCTCTTCAGCTTAAACCAGGACATTCCTGCCTTTAAGGAGCACCTTAGGGACTTCCTGGTTCAGATAAAGGTGAGGCTGTCACAGTGTCCTCTCAGTCAAAACTCTTTGGATTGCATCAACCACTGCAGATGTCCTGGTCATGAATTCCTCACAGCAGAAGCATGGCAGAAGAACCACACACACATACACAAAGCAATGGTTACAGCAAGTGTACAACACTGTAATATATTTGAATAGTGTTTCCACGTCTGTTTGTTTGCTGATAACTGAAGTGAATAAAGGCCTGCACACCTCCAGCTCTACTGTTGCGTGGCCTTTGTCTCTTCTCAGAGGTTATCAGTGACTACATAGCTAGCTGCTTAGCTGTTGTTTCCACAAATAACATTTTCCAACATGGCTTGCTTGTCCTTCTAAGTATATAGAAGGTTTGTGGCTACTGTGCCAGATTATTGTTAGAATAGTATTGTGTACGAGTGGCAGGCATGTTGTGTTTTCTTGTTTGCTAATTGGTCCACAGCTCATCTGTCAGGCTCAGTGTGGAGCCAGTTTTTGTTCACAAGTATCATCTTGAATTTACAGGTCTTTTGCAGTGTAGTCAGATTAGAGCTAAGAAAATGAGTTAACTGAGATCAACAAATCAAATAACTATCATAAGAAGTTGATCTTTTTTGCAGAATAAATGTCTTAAACATGCTTTGTTTCTCAAAACATGAGTTTTGACTTTTTCCTCGGTTTTACATTTAATTTATGCTATGGACAATTTGAACATTTTCAAGATGTCACCTTGGGCTCTGGGAAGTTTTCACCTCTGGTATTATTTGACTAAATGTAACTAAAGTTATTGACAGATTAGCAGCCCAGCTCAGGATCTTGCAGTAGGAGAAGCAGATATAGACAATGGATAGATAAGAGATGTAGAAAGCTGCAGCTAACCCCAGTGCTCCCCTGTTCTCTGCTGCTGCTCAGGAGTTTGCAGGTGAGGACACCTCAGACTTGTTCCTGGAGGAGAGGGAGGCATCGCTCCGTCAGGCCCAGGAGGAGAAACACAAGATCCAGATGTCAGTCCCCGGCATCCTCAACCCTCACGAGATCCCTGAGGAGATGTGTGACTGATCGGAAGCTCAAACTAACTGTACAGTATTCCAAACAAACCCTAACCACAGCAAATGCAACAAAACCCAAGAGAGGCACTTGAGTGTGGTGGGAAGCAGCTCAGCCTCTGCAGAGCAGGCTGTCCCATTGGATGTTTGTTGACCAAAACAATACCAATAATATGTACGTGATTACTGTGTCACCCTGTGGCCCCCCTTTTTTTCTTTTAAACATAATCTGCGTTTTCTATGGAGACTTTTGTGTAATATCTTTCCAAACTGTTGATCTGCGCTTATGTTTTGTTGGTCACTGGTCCATCCCAAAACCTGCACGATGAGGTTATAACTATTAGGACACCATCTTGTTTTTGTTTAGTTCCCTCCTGGTTCTCTTTTTCTCTGTTCTTCCTTTTCCCCCATATATTTGTTTATATATACACATGTATTATATATACAGTTTGAGCAGGGTTTTCGTGTCAAATCAGCATTGAGGCTTCTAGTGTGACAGGAATTGGTCTTGTGCGGTGCACCACGCTTTGTGGGAGAATGTGAAATTAACGGATCATGAATGAAGGCAGAGAGATGCTGCCAGCATCTGTTGCTCATATTTGCCTCACCTGAAAATTGTCTGACTGCTGCCGGCAGGATTTTTGGGGAAAGCAAAACTGAATATGTGCATATCATCCCAATTGTATAGCATCTTTAATACTATGGGAACATTTTTTTTCTTTAATTCTATTGTTTCATTTTGTCACAGGTGTGTGCATGTGTGCTGTCGCCTAGTCGACATCAGCGTTTTGTTTTCCTCTAAGAGGATTGTTGCTCATTTATGAGCCTTCATTAATGGGATGTTTTAAGGAAGTGGCGGAGGTATTTATGGATTCTTGGTTGGTTGCATCTTTATAACAACTGCTGTTTAACTCAGATGGCTTTCAAGATTTTGAATTGTATTAATTTAGATTGTTTACCATGCTGTAGTGCTTCAAAACACTACCTTTAGAGCAAAATAAAAAAATAAACCGGGTTTACATTTAATTTTGTATTTTTGCATTTTTCATGTGTACCTGTTTGAGTTCTGTCCAAATAACAAAAGGCTTTTTATTCAGAGTAAATGGGTTGCCATTGAGTTGAATTAGGAAAACTCTTATGTATAAATCCAAACAGGACCCCAATCTCTAATGGCAAATTTCTCTTCTCAAGGTGTTACAGTTGTTGTGAAGTTTTTTTGAACTGATTAAAGTTGAGAATTTTATAACCCTGTCTTTGCTCACATTTCTTTATTTCACAGCATGGGCCCATTCTCAGAACATTTGGCTCATCATTACCTCACAGACATTACAAAGAGATGTAAAGGCACGTGCAAACATAAAAATCTCGGAGAGTTTAAACAAGACTTTCGCTCAAGCTAACAGCATAATTGTAATGTTCCACTTAACTGTTGTGTGAAATTAAGCTCAAAACTCTGCAGTCTGGAAAATTTGGGCCTGATAAGTTAGCACAACAATTTGGCACTCTTATCCTGGGATGTGGGGAAAAAAACTTGTACCACAAGTGTTTATCCAGATAAATTGACAGCGAAGCAGTAGGAAAAACTTTGTGTACAGCTGTACTCTTTGCGATGGGCATCAGCAACATTGTTCTTTGCAAAATACCTTTCATTGGAGATTTTAAACATCTAAAACATTTTTAAATTACATGCATGGAAGGTTTGTTCTTACCATGCTTGATTTTAAATATAATAATCGTATTGCACCATATTCTGTATAGCCTTACACTGTTTACAATTTATGTATACTAAACTACTACAGTCTGCTTGTCAATAGCTAAATATTGTGGCATCGCATCCCAAGCATGAAACACAACTGACTTCATTAAACCATAATAAAAACTAGTCACTGCCAGTTCCTCCAATGTAGTCATTCTCCCCAGCAAATAAGTGTGAGATTTAGCTCCTAATAAAAACATAACTTCCTGTTAAAAACACCAACATATAATAATGAGAAAATGGATTGGTCACTACAATGAGAAGGTAGCAGATGATGGACGTCATCTGGTCTGTGGCCTCTTTGGCTGAGGCTGGTGCTGTGTTAGCTGACCCTGCCACTAATCCCTGTTAACACACTGGTATTAATTTGAGCTGCTCACTTGATGCAGTCTCAACAACCTGTCAGCTCTGGTGCAACTACAGGACGCTGTTCAACTTAAGCGTAAAGTCATTGTCAGACTTCCCCATTAAATGGTTCTCCAAGTACTTTGGTTAATTTTGCTCGAAGTTAAAGTCAGCTCTGGTTCTTATGTCAAAACCTGGAAACTGGATGCTAGTTATGACTCCACTCACCTAGTTAGTATGGCTTTCTGCATGACCTGTAGTCTTCCGTGGACTCAGCATTTCTAACTTCTGGAGTATTCCCAGTTCACTTTTGCTTTGATGCTTTATATCTGATCATGACTTTGGGACCCTAATTCAACATGGTTGTAACTGAAGCCCCCTCCCCCACACCCCCACATCCAGAGATCCTCAACTGTTCTTGGCAACCACTGTCAAGGAGAAGAAGGAACAGCTGGGGAAGGCCCCACCCACCCTCAGACCCAAAAAAAAAAAAAGCCTGCTCGCTTTATGCCTGCTATGTGTCTTCGCTGTGGGTAGGCAGGGTTATTAATAACCCTGTGAGTAAGTTAGACAGGAAGCACCCCATTAGCCCACCCAACAGCTGATGTCAAACTCTCTGCCCAGTGACACAAGCCAGCCACCTGTCCAGGACTTTCGCGCTATTTCTACAAACTGCTCTAGTTCCTTTTAGACACAATTAGAATTATGGAAAATCACAGCTTCTTTTACTCTATTCCCCAGTATCACCAGGCTGTTAGTTGGAGCAGTGATGACAGGTTGTGGTCAAACTAGGGCAAAGTTGACTTCTGAGGGTCCAGTATGCTCCTTCAAGGGGATCTACTGCCACCCAGTGGGGAACAAGCAGACAGAAGATGCCAAAACAAAGGTCTAGTCTGAGGTCACCATCATACAAGTTTTATTATTGGCAGAACTAGATCTCTTAGCAGAACAGACTCTGGTTTCACCACAGAAGATGATGAGAGTTAGTGAAATTAGTGGAGAATACAGGATCCAAACAATACAGATCTCCAGTCTGAAAAGAATTAACCCACCTAAATGAGCATTTCTTAAACTGCCCTTGGCATAAACCCCCACTGAGATCAGTTGCAATGCTTTTTGTCAGAGCTCAGCTGGCTTCAGAGTCCACCTTGTTTTTCCAAGGACCAACCACGGCAGCACAAATAAACAACTAGCTGAGTGACAGAGGATGCAGTTAGTGGTGATCCACATGTGGTCACCTGGTAGGGGGGGGCAAAACTAACGGGGTGGGGAAGAGAGTCAACAGCTAAACTATAGGTGGAGGCTGTGCTAGAGGGGCTTCCTCTTTGTTCTCTTGACGAATGATCAGTTTTTATGTTCGGTGGCCTTTTTCCCCATCAGCTCCCTTATGTTGTGCGGATCTGAGCATATCGGACTTTAGACCTAGAGTAAGAATAAGAAGAACATTAGAATACAGAATACAAGAAGAACAAATGTGTGTGTATGTTTATGGCACTGTAAGGAGTACCTGGGTGTTTTCTCTGAATTCTGTCTGGCTTGAGAGACACTCTTAAATTGTGCTTCTAGTCTGGAGTAGATTCCTCCTGCAGGCTGCAACAGCACACACACACAGACAGAACATAAACAATCAGGCAGCTGCAAAAACTAGGGCAACAGAGCTGACAGTGCAGCCCCAACCATGACCACACGATTAGGTCAATTCAGACCATAAGTCCTGGTTAAATGTATAGTTATGATACTATACATTATTTGCCATGTATAACACACACACACACACACACACACCTCTTTAGTCTCCTTAGAGTTGCTCTGTTCCTGGTCTCCAAACCTCATCTTAGTCAGGTAGCTGATAATCTCCACCATGCGTCGCTGGTCTGGTTCATAATAACAAAATTAAATAAAAACAAGACAGAGCTTGATGTAAACTTGTGAAAATGTAATAAAAGAATAAAGTAAGTGTACTTTTTGAATAGGTGGTAACATACTTCATATACCTCAAAAAAAAAAAAAATATGAAAAACATTCACTTCCTGTGAATGTTGCTCCTTTACCTTCTTCCCTCTGAGCGTCTTGGTTGTAGCGCATCGATCGTGAGCTGTCCCACTTACTTTTCAGGACACTCACTCTACAAAACACACGCCAGTGTTAACCAAAGTTCAGTCCAGCAGGCATACACAAGTACTCAGAAACACTGCTTGTTAACCTTACAGTACCAGATGGATACATGTTTACTGCATCAAAAAATGTCAATTCAAGACATTTAAATCCCATGAAACACCCTCAATTGAGAGGGACAGAAATGTGGAGCATGTGTCTGATGAACTCACGTGAAAGGTGTGTTATCCCTGGTCTGTGGGAGAAAGAAACATTATGTTACACTTTGCCAATACATTGAAAAATATGTACGCTGCCAGATGTATCTCTTGAATAAACAAACAGTATTAAAGCAAACAGAAGACAGTGTTTCTGTGTGACTGGAGCAGCTAATGGAAGCAGTGGAGAGTGCATGCTCAGCTGAGGCTCTTTAAGCAGATGTTTGACTACTCATGCATACATTCAGAGTTGAGTAAGAAAGACATGATTTTTGCTTGGATTAACAACCTATAAACAACTTCTAATATGGATATGTAATTTCACATAGGCCCTGTCCATCCAAAGCGATGCCACACTGTGACAAACCAGAAGACACACCCTTTTCCAGTACAACCGTGTTTGACTCCACAGAGGAATATGAAACAACTTACTGAAACCACTGACTCACTTTCTCTGGTTTGTCTTTGCGGTGAAAGCTGGGGGAGGACATTTGTTTCTTCAGAGGTCTGTGGGCCTTCTTGGCCTTTTTAGCAGCTGCAGAGAAAGGACAAACAGCATCTGATGCCACCTGCTGACCACACAGAGCACCTGCTTTCTTTTAGATCCCTAAAAGTGTTAAGGCCAGGAACAATGACATCAAAAATAGATGTGAACAAATGCAGAGTGGGGCTGGAATGGTGGTGATGTGCTATAAATAGAGCAACATTTCATCACGTGCCCTCACTTTATTTTTATCCTTTAAACTATGATAGTGAGTCTGTGTTGAAGGGAAGCTGCTAGCAGCATGACAAGAGTCATTAATTCAAATTACCCTGACATTAATTATGAGGTCAGAGGTGACTGTTCACTGGTTGAAATGAAAAACAGTGTGCAAGCAAAACAACGATGTCAGCACAGCAGCAGGATTATCACAAAGTAATTCAGTTTTTTTAATGTATCCATACACCACAGCTACAGAGTGAAGTCACAGCCCACTGCTAAAATGGTTTTGTGATCATACACTATTAACTATATAAACTGCAATTAAAATGTCAGTCCAAGACAAAAATGTGATTATAAGTAATGGCAAGTACAGTGATGTGCCTGTATTCAAACCTCACAGCAGCACTTTAATTATAAGAATATATTATTAAGATTATTCTGTTATAGGTAACACAAAGAATCATTCTGTTTTCAGCCATTTTCATTTCAACTGTTAAACTACTAATGATAAGAAGAGGAGGTCAAAGGTGCTGCTTGTTCTTGTATCTATTCAGTTTTCCCACAGCTATGCAAACTCTGTAGCTGAACTGACAAAGTTAAACACGTATCATTTTAGTCAGAATTCTCATGATTGCTTTAGTCGTTTATTAAGTAAAAATACCAAAAGATGAGCTGGCATGAAGTGAATACTCAGATCAATAAGGGATCTTATAGGAGTAGCTCAACCTTTTGACAATTGCAGTTATTTGATTTCTTTCCAAGGGAATAGTCTCAATTCTCAGTCTCATGTCTGTACATCAAGTACAGAGTCAGTAAAAGGACTGGAGGTTGAAGGACACAGCTAGCCTACATCTGTCTCATGTAAAAGATGCAGCCAGAACATTATCTTCACAGCGACCTAGACTAAAACCTGTGCTCCCCACTGTGTCTGACAACCTGCACTGTACCTGCAGATGCTACACAGATGATGACCTGCAGCTCCAGCACAACCCCCACTCATCTTTAGAAGTGTTACTGGGCACATTTTGGATTTCTGGACACATCCTGGCTAACTGTATGCTAAGCTAAGCTAGCCATGTCCAGTGTCCACTCTGGACTGGTTCCACTGTTCTCAACTCTTTCTCTGACGCAAAGTGAAGAAGTGCATTTTTTCAAAAAAGTGAACTATTCCTTTAAAATAAAACATATTAGATATAACATTAGTGATGCTGTAGTGTACTTAAAGGTATAGTCAGCGATTCTAATTCATTACACATTTTGTCATGTTCGGCTATTTTCTCAAATTTCTCTGCCTGGCATTTCAGTTCATGTCCTCCACAAACCCCAGGTGGCTGTGTGCTGTGCTCCCTCTGAAACAGATGAAATAAGGATTGGACTCAGGCCAGCTAATTTCAGCTAATCAGCACAAGGAGCTTTCTTACTCATGTACAGTACTGTGTGTGTGCGTGTGTGTGTGTGTGAGTATCGGGTTGGTTCAGAAAAATCACATTACATCAGCTGAAAGGGAGAGATGGCTCAAAAAGTACCAGCTCTACAGCTTCCACAACTTAACAACCCAGGAGGAGGAAGACAGAAGCACAAAAATTTAAAAGAGAACTATAGAGAATGTGAAGATATATCACACCATGTTGAATGCTGGGATGGGGGGGTGCCATTTTGAGAGATATGTGCTGTACTTGCCTGCATGCATTCTTGTTTTGTTTGGCTAAAAACATGTTTAAATTCTTTAGATCTCACTTTACTGACTGTGGTAATTCATAATGGATAACCTTAGCTGACTGTCGTTAACTCGAAGCCGACCTAGAGATCCCGTTGTTGAGAGCAACAGACTGAAATGACTCTGCAGCCTGATCTCAGCTCTCAGTTCGGGAGCTAAAACTAGCTGGCAGCAGTCAGTAGATAACACAAACACTGCAAATGAATCCATTTTTGTCCCGTCTGTGCTCAAACTGAACAGTAAAGTGGACGTTTAAACATGAAGCATCTGCTACCGCATGCAGCTGTATGGGATAGTATTTTTTTAAAGATGTATGTAGTGTATATCTATATGATGAATAATGAGCATGAAATCCCATAATTCAACACGCTGGAATGACAAATTCACATTCTCTATAATTAGACCTGTGTAAACAGCTATATTACTACTGGGCAGTTGGGTAAGTTGTTTACTATTTGCCACTGAAAATTATTATGGTCAGTATGTCGTTCAATTAGGTAGGCTAATCTTTGTGGCAACGTTACATTAGCAAATTAGGTATTACTGTGTCACATTAGCCTGTTTGCTAAATCAACTTTTCCTGGGACATTCGGCTAAATTTATAGTTCGTAAATGTATGTCATTGTTCCGACTTCAGTAATAGCAGCTGGAGATTGTGAGAGAATAACAGTGGAGTCTGTAGCTGGTTAACCACATGTTGTGCCCCAGTTGCTAGTATTCTGACATTTCCTTTGGCATTGGCTCTTCCCCCCAGTCATCAGTACTGTTGCTGTGGTAATGCATGCTCATGAATTCTGAGGGACACGGTTACAAGATCCTAACTGAAATGAATTGTGGATTTGTGTACACGGTGAGCAACATGTAAACATGTTTTAGCTAGAATTGCTGACTGTACCTTTAATGAAAAGTGTTTTTGACCGATCCTTAAGGTGCAGCCCTATGAGGGTGGCTCAAATCAGCAGTGTTTCTGCCTGTTGGTGAACACCACAGGCATCATCCCACATGACTCCACTACTACTCTACAGTACCTTGCTTCTTTGACAGCTCCTCTTCATCCCCCACCTCATCTTCAGTGACCTCTGACCCCGTGGTGTACTCTTCATCCTCTGACAGGAGAGACTGCTGTCTCTGAAAGTCAGGGGTTTCACATGTTACCACTCAGCTGCACATCTGACTCATCTAACATAAATCCTTTGCACCCATCTGAATGTTTCCAGTTCTAACAAAATTACAGCAAACTAAGAATAAAAAAAAAAACCAAATACTGTGCAATATAATTAAGGAAATGAGGCCAAAGTCCTACCAGTTGAAGACTCCAGTTTTTCAAGAGGGAAAACTGCTTAAAACAAAGTAGCTGAGGTCAGAACCAGAAAAACGACAAAGGCAGAAAGAGACAGAGTAGAAGAAAAAGCACTAGACTGAGAGAAACAAATGAAGACTTACAGTGCTGCCGTCTCCTCTCAGAGGTCCGAGGAGTGTTGGCTCCAAGAACACATCACAGTCCTGAGCCTTGTCTGCACTGGGGGGACTCTCCTCAGCACTGACACACATACACACAAACACATCTCCCGAAAACTGTATTTCCTTTCACCTCTCATAACAAGTTCATTTTTAGAACACTGAAAGGCACACATACACAACCAGAAATAATTGTGAACTTGTACTCACCCATCTGCACAGGGTGTGCTCGACACACACACTGCATCTCTGTGCAGCAGAAGGTCATTGAGGACCCTGGTCTGGGCTAAGGTCGCCTCGTCACAGTTCTCTTCGTCAGGTACGTTAACTATGTGGTCTCGCATCTTACAGCCCTGAGCGCGCGCACGCACACACACACACACACACACACACACACGTCTTTATGCCTTTGTGTGGCCCATGTTCTGTGACTTCTTTGTGAGGGCCACCACTTCTACTATAGCTATAATGGTGCAAAACACAAATCTATCATGAGGCGACAACAGAGAATCAAAATGTCACTTCAGAATTCAGAAAACTCAAAATAAAAAAAATCTTCTACACATGTGAGAACCAGAGTCTGTTGCCAAGCAGATTTGGTGAACTGGACCTTCTGTCACAAAGCACCAAAACAATGCATGTTATATCACCAGATTTTAGAAGATCTTTCATAACTGTCCCATCTTACTTTCCTGGTTAACCCAAACCGCAGCATTACAGAGATGGAAGCATGTGGTTTTTAATTTTGCCAATGTAAAGTGTATTTAA